CAAGTTTTTTTTTTTAATATATATTTGTATACCGCGCGCGGTTGACTATAAGTATTTATTACAGGAGGGTAGTACGAACACTTGTGCGAATATATAATAGATTGTATCGATAGTTAGAATTCGACATAGCGACGATCGAGATCGCGGTAAGGCCTAAAGTAATTACAGCTTAAGTCGGACTTGGATCGCGCAACTAAAATAAGAAGATCCGCAAGTCGGACTTAAACGAGATGTTATATCGAGATGGCATACAATTGAGATTAGCTGACTTTGGTCCACGTATCGCGAAATTTCTTCTCTCACACACACACATTTGTACAATACACATCGAAGATGTTGGCGCTGTCGCAATAAACATAGCGTTTGGGAAGCGTTGTCGAAATGGATGATTTTCGATGAAATTATGTAATGCGGGCGCGTAACGTCGACAATGGGAGGCGATCGTGGTGCAAAGTGATAGAGATACAAAAGAATTTCGAGGCACTCGAAAGTCCGCTCGACGCTCATTGCACGTTGCTCATCGCAATATTATGCTTACGACGTTGTCTAACTAAGATTGAGCCTCGATGCGAATTTTAACAGCTAGTTATGTAGATATACATTGTTTGTATATAAAAAAAAAAAAAACGAACGTTATAGGCACAGTGCTATACACGCTATTCTTACCGTTACTTATCGTTGCTACAATACGCACTTAAACGCGTAGTCGTCGTGAATTTATGATTCACGACTGAAAGGTAACATAAGGCTCGCGCGTGCTGTGAGGAGCACCGCGGGTTTGCGCACGCCTAAACGAACTGTTACAGTTTCGCCTGACGCCGATCAAAAGCTGTACTTTCTTCTACTCTTGCTTGCCGGATGTCGCAATTCGGTGGCCGAAAGTGTCGCAAGTAGATGACGCGTGGCTGATGAAATCACGCGCGCGGATTGGAACGAGAAGTTCGAGGATGGGATCGAGAAGCGCAAAGGCGTGTTTCGCCCTGCGAGGACCTGACACAATTTCGCAGATAAACGCGACGACGGCGAGAGACACGAGCTGCTTCATAAAAAACTGGTTAAAAAGTTTGCTGGCTGGATTCGCTACAGTTTTACGCGCAAAACGCTCCCGCGCCGTCTTTGCGAACTCGAAATATTTTTTCGTTATCAAAATACGGCTTAATACTTATCAAAGTATGTTAAAATGTGTTCAAAATTACACGGAGTTAAAAAATAGTCACGTGCGCATGCTAATTCATGAATGAGCGCGACAAATTGTTGAAAGACATCGATAAATTATTGAAAATCCTTGTTTTTGCAGAATTTCCTTACAATCTCTTTTTTTTTTTTTATGAAATATAAAGAATTATGGCACAAAATTATAATGTGTCGCATTCGTCATTTTCGATTTCGCTTCTGAGCTGCGCGTAATTGAAAAGAAAATTCGGATGAAACGTGCGTTTTTACATCTCCGCGGGATGCTGCGAGAAAACCGATTTCCAAGCCTCGAGGTTTCCGATCGATAGGATCTTATATCTCTCCTTCCCCTTCGTGTCTTTTCTCCTTTTCTCTCTCCTGACGAGAGCCCGTCGATCAACGATTCTCTCTCTCTTCCGCCTTCGCGCAGACTGTCGAGACTCTCGCTCGGCTCCTTTATTGCGTTTCACTTTCGCGATGAGCTTACCCGTTCGATCGGGGCGTGGCAAAAGTGTAACGCAAGAGAGGTCCGAGGCCATCGGCTGCGATCGCACGCGTATGTGAAGGAGAAAAACAGGGCCCGCGCGCCAGGGCTTCACCCGAGATCTGCATTGTGCGAGCTTAGTCAGCGCGTCCGCAAGGCCGTGTTACGAAACGCCAATAATAAGAATAAAATGAGGAATTCGATGACAGGATTGAGGCACTGCATGGCGAAGAAGGAGATAAAAATACGAGGCTGAATAGCAAAAGACAAAGTGCAAGCATGAGATATGAAAGTATGATATTGACATTTTTTTTCTCGAAGAAATGTCGAAGCGCTAAAAAAATGTGTGAGATCTACATAATATAATTATATGCACCGACGTACTACAATCGCAGCGATACAAGTTCCCCGACCTTTGCCGGTTCGATAGTGCGGCAGGACACGCGCGCAAAGCTGCTCCTATCTTAAAAGCACCGGTTGCGTAGATGCTATCGTTTAGAAAGCGCAATAATTTTGATCCGGCGATTAAATTCTCGCCGACGCAACGACGGTGGCGTCTCGCCTTTTCCACACGGCGATTCCAACAACAATCCGGTAGATATTTATTAGACTTCTCTATCCCGCCGCGCAAAAGTGTATCGCTTCGAGGAAGCGTTTGAAAACGCTGCGGTTTACGAGTCATTGTCAGCATCGTATCGCGCGCCAGGATCTCTCTGGTGCGTTCGCGCGTAGAAAGCGCGGCTCGTTTTTCGCGCGATTAAACGAAAAGGGCGTGGAAAACGTGTCCGACGGATGCAACTCGGCGGATGCACCTTGAGCCGCTCGTAGCTCACGTCGGGCGGCCTTTCGTTACGAATCACCGATCGGGTTAATCAAGGTCGGCTCTGCACCTGTGCATTGCCGCCGCGCGGCGTAGAAAGCGCCGATAAATTTGCACCCAATATCGCACCGGAAGCGACGATTAAAACGTTTCACGGTGAACGAACATGGGCGACGCTTCGTAGGAGATTACGGCCATAATCGGACAGGTTTGCGATAACAACGATATCGTCTGTAAATCAATCCGCAGTTATTTACAATACTCATCGAATTACGATAAAAGATAAGAGTCATCTCGGATGGGAAACGGTGTTTAGCGTATCAGCATATTATTTATTACACGTCGCCGGGTTTTTATCATCGCTCATAAATATGGAGATCTTTCTCGAATGGTGGAGTAAATATCATTATAAAACTAGGATCGAATAGTTTCGATATCTCTCTTAACACTTTTGCGTAGCATCGATTTCCGCGCTACGATTCGCGGATTTCACGATCCCACGGCGATTTCTTTTTATTTTATTGCTACGATATCATTCCCGGAACGGATGCATTGCGTCGATCGGATCAACGGTATTTACATCGGCATCGCAATTGCGTGGACGCAAGTCTCGTGATTAATCGAAGTCGCGCGAAGTAACACTTTCAGTCACGAAACTGACTTGCTGTTTGTTTTCCGCTCCGATGGTGTTGGCACGATCTAGAAAGCGCAGTAAACTCGCGCCCGAAGACCGGTGCCGGGAAGCGATTAGTCCGTTTTTAAGGCTCGCCGGTCGGGATTTTCAACGGCGTTCCGTAGAACTCGAGAAAACCGTGAGCCCGCTTGTAATAGTGGTATCGCGTGTCGCTGGATTATTGCAACGACGAAAGTAATCCGCGACTGTATTTCCCGCTTGTGATTCCACCGTGTGATTTCAACGACCGGGATATAAAGAGCTCACGGACGGAATACGCGTGATTCTCACCGGAAATAGTTGTAAAATTGGCGAATTCTTAAATTCAAGCGCGGATTTGCGCTATCTCTAGTAATATTATCATCGAGAAAAGAGGATGTTAAATCTAAATTTAGTTTAGAAAATTAGTTACAATGTAATAAACAGCGTTTTTATTTATTAACAGTCGCGTGGAGAGTTTTTAGATTTCACAAATTTGTAGCAATAAGCTATTTAATGTACATTGTTTGACAAAAAATCAATGCATTTCGATCAAAATTCTAGGTTTATAATTTTACAAAATATTAGTCTGTAAAATTCAAGATAAAGATTTTCTTAAATAAACAATTCTTGTACTGTGATCTTCCTATAATTATTTAATATAATATATAATATATATTTATATTATTATTTATTTATATAATATATTATATATTTATATTATATATAATAAGTACAATATATTTCCTATAATTTTTTAATATATGCAATATATTGTTGGCAGCAGTAATTTTGAAATTGGATCTAAAAATACTCCACGTGAAAGAAAAAACCACGCAAATTTTGCGACTTAAAAATAACGCGCAAAATAAATCTGAATAGATTTCAATAATTTCAATAAAGAATATCACGCAATAATAATCTCAAGACCAGGATATATTAATCCACCACTCAAACCACGAGCCTTCTAATTTAGCGCCGTGACTTAGCGCAGCTTGCGCGCATCAATCCTCCACGAATGCAAAACTCTCGTAACGATGATAACAGTATAAGTGTGAAGTTTTAGCACATGCAAAATGTCTACATGAGATTTCGACCAGATAATCTTCCCTACAATATGCAAGATCTTTGGACATGCGAGATCCTTAAAGCATACGTGCGCGCGAAGCATCCCAACGTACGGCAGACGTCGGCAGGATTTATCCCGCACGAAACGCACACACGTATCGCGCATAAATCTATCTTTTGCGCATGCAAAATAGATAAACAGTCATTTAGCTCCACACGCTTCGGCCCTCACACTTACGCCTTTGACCTTTACGCGTTACGCTCTTGCTACCGCGTTGATCGGGTCGATCCTGAGGTCAACAGATGCCCCTCGGAGGAATCCGCACCTGCGGATGCACCGAATCGGCGCGCTCGCGTATCGAACGAGCCACTGAGCTCGGCTAGAAAGTGCCGATAAATTTGCACCTGACTCGAGCGAACGGAAGACGATTACATCGTTTCGCTCAAGGTACGGTCTTCAGCGACCGTCCGCAGGAAACGGGGGGATATATCATCATTCGTGTGGGATTGCCCGCGGTTGTACGTTCACCAGGCACTTCGCTCGTTTACTCGCCTCTTCTTGCCGATCATCGCCGGCAGGAAGCACGCGGCTTTTCCACGCTGCAGGTACTGCGTGCTGCGGCGCGGCGCCGCGCCGCAGTTTCGATCCGAGTCCTTTCTTCACTTCAGACGCTTCCGACGCTACGATGGGAACCTCGAGAAATTTCGCACCGTTCGCTCGAATGCCGGAATGATACCTGTTTGCCGCAGTTTTTTGCTCGCAAACGCGCGCGCGGATATCGCTTCCCGATGCGTTGCCCGCGAATCGCTATCGAGCACATCGAACAGAGCAGATCGCTGCATCATACTCCGCCGTTATTTTGCTAAATGCGAGCAATAAAAGGCATACGATGTTGGATATGTCAGTAGTAATCCGCGCGATTTTTAAAAATCGCGATCATCAGATACGCGATGATGTACGCTTTCCCGTAATTTTCTTCCCGGATTAAGATTTATCAAGTTAATAAGGAAAACGGTAACGTGGAAATCGTTATCGATAAATCGTCACTCGCTTTATTATTTAATTTCCGAGTGACAATTAATTTAAAGACGACGCGCGATATAGCACACTGATTAGGATTTGCGATCGTATGAACATCGCGAAGTTCGTTAAGTCCGCGGACAGTTCTCCGTCGTTATTTAATAATAATTAACTCTCCTCCGGCGTGATAATTACATACTAATAATTACGGGAAACTTCTCTTTTTCTTGCAAATCGGTTTCCAAGGCGGAGAAATAGCTTCCTAGCTCTCATCCACTTCTGTAGAACAGTGATGTATCGCCTGAATCAGTTCCGCGAGATTTCAATTAGAAAGTGGATATAATTCTCGCTAATTTAATGAAAATAAATTTTAATTATATTTTTTATTTAATTGACGTTATTAGAATAAACGTGTGATGCGTGGTTTCATATAGGTGTTCCGCCGATTCGTGCACCTTTCAAGACATTTCAGTGTTGAAAGAAAATTGATAAACGTCGCTTTGCCCTTTCATTTCTTAATGATAAGATTCTCGATACATCCTTGACACGTAATTTTTTTTTCTCGACTGAAAACTAAACGACCCGCGGCGCGCAGAGTGTGACGAACTTTCCGAGCTCCTCTGACAATTTCAATTTCCTAACAGCCGAGCGATCGGCAGCAAGACCGGTGCGCGGATCCGCCCATCGATTTCTAAACACTATTTTATTATCGGTCTTCTCGACAGCTCATTGAGCCCGGCGATCCACGATCCGCGGATTACGTCCGACGATGCCCGAGTTGCTTGGATGCTGAAATTGACTTTCTAGGTCGTAAAATCGAGCAGTCGCGCGCGCGATTCTGCTGAAGCGAATCGTCCAGCGTACTCCGGACTTTTTCTTCAACCGATTTTCTTATCCGTCAGAATCTTCTTCGCTGCGCGATGAGATCGTTAAGTTTTAATGTGCCATCTTGCAAAAATCTTGCGGTGCGCAACGCATGCGATAACTCTCAACGATTTAAAACGCGAATGCTCATCGGATTACGCAGACTTAGTGCTTAGATATTACGGCGATGCAGCACGAAAAATGATTATTAAAACGGGCATCCTACAATATGAGTTTATAAAAAGTTGTACATTAGCAGCTTGTTAAGAAAATATTTCTATAATTTCTTTTCATACTCGTTGTATAAACTTATTAATATCTGAAAAAAGCGTTAGATCATTTATTGTATGAATGCGCATAGATTCGCATGCGACTTCCTTGCACATTTCGCGCTATATTAATCGCGAAATCGAACTTCTGCAGCTTTGAACTGATCCCATCGCGCGAAAGGAATGCGTCGTGAAAGGTGGAAAAGTGTAGGGACGATCGAAAGGATTGCAACGGCCTTAATTGCAGTGCCGACGCTTTTTTCCGTGCTATCCTTTCTTCTTTGCAAATTAGTCATGCGTTATACCGTCGTAATTTGCGGCATGACTTCACGTAATTCAAGAACAATGCCGTTTTTTTAGGACTTTACTTTCTTAACATTTGCGAATTGCACTGACCAGCTGATGTAATTTATACTTTTACACGATATTAATATAACATTTCGTATTGTAGATTCGATTCAATTTTCTGTAGAACAATAATTGCACAATGCGTGTATTACAATTTTCGATAAATAAATAAGAAAATTGCGACAACCTGCAAGTCTAGATTATGCATATTATCTCGTTTCCTGATTCTATAATTCGACGATTTGTGGAAATTGTAAAATCGATAAAATACTCTTTATAATTAACATCGAGAATAAAGAGAAGGTATAAATATGAGATAAAACAGAAATTTAAAGGACGTGTCAATTTATACTATCGCAAATGCGAATTTGTTTTGTTTAAAGATATATAAAATATATAGAGAATAATCTTCACGTAATCTAACATTTTAAAAATATACGTAAAATTCGAAATATCAATATAACATAATTTATAAAATTAAAGCAAATTAAAGCAAATTTTCGTAAGCAACATCTCATAGCCATATCTTCCCAGCTAATTGGAAATCTCTGAGATATTTTCTTCTCTTTCGTCTTCACAAATTGCTTTCTAAGTTACAATCAACTCCGTCTATTTCTCTATGACTTTCCGTCTCGCTCAAGCACGCGTTTAAGTCTAAAATTATCTAGTATTTAAAGTAAGTTAATCATTTACCTAATTTAATTATCAAGGCTCTTTATATCGATCTGATTGAATCGCACTCTTCAGGATTAGAGGACAGTACGTCCCGGAAGTTAGGCACACATTTCTCCAAGGCACGTTTTCGATTTTTAATTCTTAACAACAGATCGAATCTTTCGGTGGAAATTTTTCGGCGAATTCATTTCAAAGATCGCAATGATTTTTACCTACCATGAAAACTTTATTCTTGATTGTCGTTCGCCGTCTTGAGCAAAGGATTCATCACCGATTTTTCAAAATTGACGTTCACGCTTTTCCTTCATCAGTATGTTTTTATGTCTCGATTCACGAGAGTCCTTACGAAGAATGTTTCATTTCGTGCACTATAGATCTAAGGTCACCACAAGAGCGTGGCAGTGTCTTCGTGACGATACCGTCGCGGAATCTCGCATGGTCGGAGGTTTAACCTTTTCAAGACACTTTCGCTCTTGGTCAATCCCGACGCGGCTCGGAACATCGAAGCTGCCCCTTGTTCGCGGACTCCGGCGCGCTTGAACGAATCGACAAAAAAACTTCTCTTAACTGTGAGCTTAATTGGTCGCAGCTGACACAACGGACATTACCATGCTGGCGGCCGCGCAACCCCGGGACTCAGGTATTATTGCCGGGGGAGAGCGGCGGCGAGTTCGCGTCCCTCTGCTCCCCCTGGACGCTCTCCGGTCTGCTGGCCGTGCTGCTCGACCTCGAGCTGAGATTGTCCCGGTCGCTGAAGTACGACGAGTCGCCGCGCTTCTCCTCGAGCTGCAGCTGCTGCTTGTCGCTCCTGAAGTCGTCGGCGGCGTGGCCCAGCAGACCGGGGAAGTACGATATATTCTGGCGCTGCGAGGTGATCTTACCCATAAAATTGCGAATCTCCTCGAAGTAGGAGTCGTCGGCGCGCGGCAGCTGGCCGTGATACCTGCCGTCGTCCAGTATCGTCGGCCCGTCCGCGTCGTGCTTCTTCAGGTGCCGGTCGAGGTTGGTCTGCTGGCCGAAGCACCTCTCGCAGAGCGAACACTTGAAAGGCTTCTCCTTGTTGTGGATGTTCCTCACGTGACGCTGCAGGTTGCTGGAGATGCTGAAGCTCCTCTCGCAGTATTTACACTTGTACGGCTGCTCGCCGGTGTGCGTCCTCAGGTGTCTCGTCAGGTTCGCCGAGCGCGGGAACACCTTGCCGCAGAACTTGCAGGAGTATCGATCCTTGGGTTTGAGCCCGGCCTGCACGCTGATCGAGTAGGGCGGCAGACTCGCGCTCTGCTGCTGCGACACCTGCTGCTGCGTCTGCTGCGAGGAGTGATTTTGCTGCTGAGCTTGCTGAACGCCGGCCGGACTGCAGGTCCTCGCGGTCGGCTGCGACAAAGAGGAGGACGAGGAGGAGGTCGTCGACGAGGTCGTCGAGGAAAATCTGCTGGACGGCAGAGGCACCATCGTGGGCAGCGCTCTCACTTGGATCTTTGGTAGATCGGGCACCGGCGTGCTGTGATGGTGCGACCTGTACATCGCCTCGAGAACCAGCGGGTGCATCGCGTGATGCTGATTGAAGAGCACCGTGTGATAGGGCAGCCCGCCGCCCAGGCTGTTCTGATTCAGCACCTCGACCTCGTTCTGGTTTTCGTCCCTGAGCCGCTCCTTCTTGTGATCGACGCGCAGATCGAGCGGCTCGCAATCGAGGTCGTCCTGATGGTGCGGCTGGGGTGGTCTGGCCGCGGGACTCATGTGCGGTTGCTGTTGCTGCTGCTGCAGCTGCTGCTGCTGCTGCTGCTGATTCGTCGGACTCGACAAGCCGCGGCCGTGACCGTGGCTGAGGTCGTACGGCAGCTCCTCGGCGTCCGGCACGCGGACGCTCAGGGGATAAATGCTGGCTTGCTTCGGGCTTATGTGGCCCGGCATCTTCCTCGGACTCGAATCCTTCTCCCGCATGGCTGGAGGATACTTCGGGTCGTGCAGCAACGTCGGGGGTAAGGTGATGCTACCGAGGTATCCGCTCATCACACTGTCTCTGTCACTCGGCCTTGCTCCTGCTCTCTCCGCTTGGGATAGTCTGAAACACGGGGAGCACAGCGCTTTTCGATTAGTTAACGAATTTCGAGAAAATTTTTTAATTTGTATTTTATATTTTTTTCTTTTTGCAAATGTGAAATACTGTCTTTTTGAAACCAATCTAATTTTCAACAGGCTATTTGAGAAACTTAAATTAGCGATTATTGTGTTACAACATTTCTCGCATTTGAAATTTTTTACTACATCAAAGAGATTCGGATTTTTAAAATGCTTGTACATTAAAATTATATTTCATTTGAAATTTGGCGCACATTATAGATCGCCTGTAATGGGCTTTTGTGTCGTTAAATCAAATGTTATTATTATATTTAGACGCGATATTACGTAATGTGATAAGTGTATCAATTTAAACGCGATATCTCAGTTAAGCAATAGCATACTTCAAAGTTGGCAAGGTAACGCAGCAACGAAAAATAGCGTCGTTGAGCAACGCAGACGTGCGGCGTTAAACAAATTTTAAGGTCGCGTCCGATTACGACACTCGAAACGTCAGTCAAATGTAATTGAATACACCAATCCGTGGCAACGTCAGATAGACACAACCGATTATTACAGATACGTATTAGAGATACGTAACACCGACCGTTTGACAAGCGAGGTTCGCCGCGCGCTTCATAAATAAAAAAATCTACGTGATGCTTTCTTTCCTGCCGCACGCGATAGAACCAGATTACGGAGTTGGAGAAGAATAGAGAAGCATTATACGATCGCTAGAAAACGACGCGATTTGGAAACATTAGTGAAAGGATCTCTCTCTCTCTCTCTCTCCCCTCTCTCCTTTCCTCGATCGACATCATTGTGAATCGTTGCCGAGCGTAGCGCGAAAAAGACAGCGACAGACAGGAAGAGAAAGAGAGAGAGAGAGAGAGTGGAAAAGAGAAAGAAAAGCAAAGAAAGAGAACGCAACGGGACTCGATAAATCAAGGCATCAATCGCGCGCGTTGTGATAAATGTGTCTTCGGCCCGCGGCTAAGCTAAAGATTTTAGAAGTCGAAGAAATCGATCTCCCGGGCAAATCGAACTGCTCGCATTTTTATCACTTGACGTAAGACGTCGGGGATAGAAAAAATGTAGATAAAGTAGGAACACCTGCCAGATACGTAAGATGTGTCTATCAGATTTTTGCGATCGCGCATGGATCATTCAGTTCAAATCTCTCTCTCTCTCTCTCTCTCTCTCTCTCTTTTTCATTGCATACTCCGTTTCTAAATGCTTCTCCATTTCACTCCGGCACGTGCTTCGGACTTCGTCCGCTAATTGACAGAATTTTATTAATAGCTCGCGATCATACGCGCAATTAATTCTGCTCGAAACTTTTTCAATTCGCTCATCAGCGAGCAGATACCGTAGATTTCTTCCGCAATGTGTGTAACGATATCTGTAACAGCGCGAAAGAGATATCGCCTGTTCAATTTATCGGTGTATAGATTAAAATATCTATTAGCTAATTATTAGCTTTTCTATTAGAGATTTTTTCTGTCTCTAATAGAATTAGCTCCTATAGCAGGTACAATAAGTAAAATAGGAGATAGAAAAGGATAAACATAATATTAAAAAGATATAAAAATTTTGAATAAATAAAATCTTATCTTAAAAAAAAGGCATCTACTCGCATTCATCGTGTCTGCTTTTCCGCGACTGGTTATCTCGATGCGCGTTATGCGTTACTTCGTGCAATCAAGCAATTATCATTGCGAAAATTGCATACTTCGATAGTTCATATTATGAGAAGAATAATGCAAATATATTTTTTTGTACTTTATAAAAAATTTAAAGTGTCTTCCTAGAATTATGATATATATTTCTTTGTAATTAAAAAAATAAATAGCGCGCATTTGTGTGTCTAGTATTTTAAATCTCGTACAAAATTTTGTGATAAAATATTTACACCACAAAAAGCAAATAAAATGCAAAATGTGAATATAATAAAAATAACATGTATAAGCATGGATCTTCCTAATTTTACATAAATGTATTTTATGATTTTATACTTCCGTCGTGCAATTATTTGCTATAGATATATTATTAATAAATTTCGACGTAGAATATTCGATTTGCGAAGGAGGAAAAATAACATGTTTTACGTCTCACGCTTCAATAATCGTTATTATAAGTCGACTCATCAGTTGAAAGTGACGCAGAGAGACAACTCGACCTAACATTAGAGATCACTACTTTCCGCGTGTCTTGCGAGCGTTGATGTCTCTATCAACGCGTGGCAGGGGAAGGTGAGTATATTTTATCTTCAATCGCCACGTGCTACCGAGCTAAATGTAGAAACGTGAGAGAGGCTTTATTGCGTACCGCGGACATATCTCATCACTTATATTCGATTTTCCAAGAGTGTAAACAGAAATATTAAACATAATGTGAATCATAACGCAAAATTACGACTCATCGAATATGGAGAACTTAGTCAAATCAAATGACTCAATATATTAATTAACAGTACTAATAAAATTCTAAATATCGCTATAATAATTATTATAAAATTGCATTTGAAATTATTTTATTGCAATTAAAGTATATAAATAACAAAGTTATATACAGAATAAGTAACACATTAATGTGTAATAAAAATAATTTAATTCCATAATTTACAAGTAATTTTAAAGTCGTGAGCTTCTAATAAAAGAACTACATTTAAGAGATCCTCGCGAAGGACATGAGCGGCAGGTATTTAATTTTAGCTCACGTTAAATTGACTCCTGACTTGTTGATATACAAATGCAATCTGAAAAAAATATTTACAATGTCAACGTAAGCAATTAACGCAATGATTTAATGATGTTTGCGCTGTAAATACGTTCAGATCGTTCGTGGATCGCGATCGTTTTGCGATCAATGGCTCCGCCCGTGTGTACCGTTGCGCTCGGACTGATCCAGTTACGAACCAGAAACTAATCTTCTCGTCGGTTGTCCACTCCGGTGAAAGAGAAATCCGCTCGCTATGTTGTCAACGCGACTGAGAAGGCAAGGCGGAAAAAGAGCGGCGACGCGCAACGTAAAAGGAGCGGACGTGCGCAAAAACCTCACTCGTCCGACGATAATAGTGAAAAGCGTTAATTATGGGCGTCGCTAAGGATGTCTTGCGACTCAACCGGCCGAAGTCGAAAGTGTACACGCGGTGCGAGCTGCCGCTGTCGATTTTTCTGCATTGTACCGCACCGCGTTGCAATTTTCGCGCGCACGTCTGAAGAAAGTGATAGTAGTAGAACGTGTGTCGTCCGGCGGTTGAGATGCGGTCGATTAAGTTCGATTTACATGTACTTTCCCTTGTTTCTCGTAATAATACCGCGCGGAGAGAAACTTTCGCGCGACTCGACAGAACGCATCCTCGGGCGACGCCCTATCGAATTTGGGAAGACGAGAACTTGCTGGGATAATTTGCTGAAATTTACGGGACTGATAATTTGCTTGGAAAACATCAAGCTGTTTGCTTTAATCTTGCGGCAGTGCTTTATGACGAAGTAATCAAAACCTCTTTATGCATCGCTATAATCAGCATGTTAAATTGCTAACTGAAAGTTTATAAATTACTTTTGTTTTCCCGAAAAAATCGCTTTGTGCAACTGCAAATATTGATTTAAGATTAAATAATTAGAACTTAAAATTGCCAAATCTGGCTTTTGTTACACGAAGAAGATTTTATATTAAAAATTACTATGATACAACAGTAGCTGCCTCCCATAAGAGGAATTATAAGTTTAAATACTCTACGGCTACTATGTGAAAAACATAGTAAACATTTTTATAATTTCTTCATGGTCCGCAACTACTGCCATACATAATAATTTTCGATATAAAATTTTCTCTGTGTAAGAAATAATACACTAGTATATAAAAAAAATAATATAAAGTTCATTATACCTTTATAATTTTCAATTTATATGAACCGTTTTTTAATCTTATTTCAAAAATCTGAGATTCTCTCTGCGTTGAACGGAGTTTCTCCGGGCGATTCGAGTGAGTAATGTCCACGGGAAACGGTAGTCGGTTACGCAGAACGGGAGGAGAAAAATAAAAAGAGCGAAAGAAAGGGGAACGTGGCCGGCGAAGACTGACGTCTGTTACGTGAATCAACCCGGCTGACGTTTCACGAGATCTCCCGAGATGTTGGCAGCCGCGATCCAGTTTTCGGTTTCTAGAAAGTCGGGATGAGCCGGGCGTGGTTTGTATCTCTTTACCGTTCAGTCCGTCTCCCTGCCCTGCTCTTCCTCTCTCGCTACGTCGTCCTTGCTGGTATGATTTCTCTGCCGACATTCACCTACGTGTACGATAAGTGCTTCTCCAGGGCCGCATGTATCTCAATATGCGCGATAATTTATGTCCGTATTGAAGACTTAATTTATTATATACAATATACTAAAATTTTATTTATCAAAATAATTCTATGATACAATAAAGATTCATTTATTTGTCGCAAATATTATTATTATTAATTTAATGTGTGTAACTTCGTATTTTTTAATCACGTAATTTAATGATTATGCATTGGATGTTAAAAAAAAAAAGAAAAGAAAGTTAGACGATAAATTGCAATGGTAAAATGGTAATTATGGATTTTAAGGTTGCAAAATAAATCCAATGATTTGGGAATATTATAAAAAAATAGTTTAATACAAAATGAAATTGATATTTTCTTGCTCAGTTCTTGTTTCTTTGCAACCAAATAATCCAAGAAAAAGAAATATCTAAATTTGTTCATATACGTTCAGCTTTTATTAAATTATGTAAGAATATAGATACAATAATTTTTAACGCCAATTTTGTTGTAATATTTACATTTTCACATTTATCGATCCATAGTAATTATTCTGTAATAGTACACAATCGTCCCTTCGCGAGCAACGATTATTTTCACTTTAATTAATTTCCGCGTGTAACACGATAAACGTCGGTCATGTAACGCGTATTTATCCAGCACTTGTTACCCAAACGGGACACGTCCCTGGTCGCTTGTCGAGCACGAAGATTTTA